TCCAAACCACAGGAATGAAAGGTTTTGATACTTGTGCATGACAATCCTATGTTTAGGGTCTACTTTTCTTAGCTGATTAATTAATAGCTTCAAAACTATTTTACTACTTTTCAGAAACTCATCCCTGTCACCACCAACATAAAATATCTGTAACAATTTGTCTCAAAGCTTCATCCCTTGTTTCTCAATCTCAGGCAGAGACATAACTTATGTCTTATCAGGAATTTAGAAAGCATGGGAATATATGCCTTTCCTAAGTACTTTCATAGCTTTCAGCAATTTGTAGCGCAGGGACTTCCTGAGACAGGTTTGGTCAAATAACTCAGGGTAACATTAAGTCCCCCAGACTGACAAAATTGGTTGCAGTTATAACAGCCCTTATTTGTTGCATCTCCATCCAAAGACATCTCACAGGGCACCCTGTTACCACTCAGATTTGAGTGTGTTGGTGGATTTACTGGGTATTGGGAAAAGCTTGACTGTGTCTCCTCAGAAGCCATCATGCTCCTGGATGCCACCTCAGGCATGGCAGTGGGAGAAGCAGAATCCACCCCTTCAAACACCTGAGTTCCTGCAGAGCAGAAGGACATCACAGACCCTAATTCAGAACACTGAGTGGGACTTACCTGAACCCTTGTGAGACAAATCATTTCTATTTGTCCTTTTCATTGTGTAGCAGTTGTATAGATATGCTTTTAGAAACCCTGATTATGTCACAACTAGCATTTTTATCCCTCTCTAAAGCCTTGATATGCACATAAAAAGACAAGAGCAAATGCCGCACTCAGACCAATATTATGTTAATTTGATCAGTCAGGATGCAATATTTTTTGCAATAATTCTTTTTTCTGAGGATCTTAGAAGGAGGTGGCTCTTTTTCCTAGTTCTAGTCAAATCAACTCACACTACCTCCTTGTTTCAACTGCTATTTACAGTGTAGTCAGAAACATCTCCTTAAATACAAAGAAAATGTTGGTTCCTTTTGTAGAGACAGGGCCTTAATACAAATACAAAAAACAAACCTCATTCCAGTTATTTCCAGACATGTTCCATAGAAGGAACTTCCTGTCCTGCTTGCAAGGGTTTAACATTGTCTGAATGCACAGAAATATTTACATCATGACCTTTCCTAGGAGCTTTAAAATGTAGGTAAATGATGCAGGTATGAAAGGTGCAATATCCACCACACAGCACTGAGCTCTGCTCTGCACTAGATAGCACCAGATAGCACCAGATAGCTGTCCTTCCTGGCCTGTTCCTGGTGCTTCCTGGCCTGTTCCTGGTGCTTCCTGGCCTATCAGAGCAGAATTATAACTGGCACAGTTTGTACTATGTCCCTTCAGTCTGTGGTAGCAAGGACAAGGCAGCATGCAATCATATTGCTCAGACTCATGTTTATGCTTTCTTTTAATATTTTTACCAAAGCAAAACAAGGATTAATATGTGTGCATTTTCTCACTTAGCCAGGCATTAATAACAGACCATGGTTTTGAAGCACTGCTCTATTCCTGCGCTTCTATGTCAGGTGCTCTGATCCATAGAGGAGAACTGGAACAGCTGACTCAGACGGAAAGACTCAGAGGAATGGAGGGTCACCCCAATTTGCCATTAGCATGAGAACTTCCTTTCATTTGAGTTGAATCCTGTCTGCAGGGCTAGATCCTCCTGGAAGAAGAAAACAGCTTGATGATACGAATCGCTGATTGCTTGTACACAAATAGTTTTTGCTTGCACAATAAAGACAATAAAACATCTGAGAAATAGAAAATATAAATGTTACAGACATCTGGCAAGCACTGGAACCTCAGGTTTTCAGTTACAAAGTTTTATGCTTTTAGCAAACAAGTGTCTAGAAGGGTGCAAACCACATGAAGCAAACGCCTCTGTCTCTCGCAGGGCAGGTGGTAGCCTGGGGAACAGCTGGCTTCAGTTTTTCTGCCTAATTGAATTCTGGTCTGCCTAGTGCTACTCATTTGTGCTCAAACTAATGTTTCTCTCCCCTCTTCACTAAGCAGCTGCCAGTTGGCATAGTCAGACTGCAGCAACCACTGGAGTTGTTTCATCACTGTTTGCCTGGGGTGAAGCGAGTGGTGAAGCCTGCAGCTGCTCTGGACACTGAGGATTCCCTCTCCTACTGTCCCTTTGCCCTGCTCTCACAGAGGGCTTTGAGCTGCACAAGGTCTCCAAGGCTTGGCTTGCTGAGGTCTCCTGCACCTGGCACGACTGGGGAGGTTTGCCATTTCTAAGGAACACAAAAGACGCTATTCTTAACAAGCAGTGGCTTAAAACAAAATATTTTTGCTATTCACTAACAGAGGGAATCAAATTGCAGTCATTTTCTACCTTACTGAGGTAATTTTAGAAGAATTGAAAATATTAAAATCATGAAATCTTTCATGAAAATTCTTTCTTCCTTACGTTTCCCAAACAATACTTTCACAATATTCAGTTGCATTTTGGGTCCTAACATGGAATCAAGAGACATGGCTAGCTGTTATTCATCCCAAGGCACATACTAGACTCTCTAGAGTTCTCAATCCACAGAATCTTTGACAGTGTGCTGCCACTCCCATCCCAATAGAATCAAAAGTTTACTTCTCCTCACTTCTTTTCCATTGTATCTTTTTATCTCCATGTATCTCAACATTATTTTACAAATTCTTTTTAACTAACTCCACCACTAATCTTAATTTTTATTCTGGTTTTGATCAAGAAAAGAAAAAGGAAAACAAATGCACAGATAAAAGCAACAAGTTTTTGAAGATATAAGCCTGTAAAAGAAAGGTTAGAAAATACAAGGTCGTGATAGCTGGTTAGAATGCTTATCACTAAGGGAACCATTTTTCCCCTGAAGAAGGTACTAGTAACTTACTGATAATTTCATGTAACTTACTAATAACAGTCTATTAAAAAAATTTACTCCAGTATGCAAATAGAATTATTCCAGTCAATATCAGGATAAGACTTAAAGACAAACAAGTCCTGGGTTGACTATATGATGCTTTTATCCCAAATCGTCTCGTTCTGTTTATGCTGAATAATAAGTTTTGCACCTTTAAGACATGTTCCAGAGAGTGAAGGGGGGGAGAAGAAGCAGCAGTTTGTTTTCAGACACTGCACTCCTCCTCCACATTCCTGCTCCTGGACTGTGATGTCTGCGGACGGACAGACAGCGGGACAGAGCTCTCCTTTTCTCTAGTCAGTTTTGTTAGCTGAGGCAAAGAAGTTCCCTGGACTGTTATTTTACCCTTTTCTTTGGACCTCTTGAAACTACTCTGGCCTGAACACCCAGGGGAGCACCTGGTGAGAGAAAGGTTCTATTAGACCATTCTGGTTTCAGCTAAGAAGAAACACGCTGCTCTGAAGCACTGCTGTGGATGCTACTTGCTCAGTTGCCTGGATAATGATAAACAATTGCAAATGGGTGCTGGTAAACCTGTCATGACTGAACCGCAGCCTCGGAGCCAGCCGTGTTTTGGGATCCACAGCACTTACCAGAAACATTTTATAGTGCTCAAATAAATGCTTGATGATAGCAGCATGTGCTGTTCTATGAGACAGTGAGCATGTTCTTAAATTCCCCTTCCCATTCCAGAAGGGAAAGTCAGTTTGGAGCCAGGCACTCCTCCCATCTCTGTGTTCATCCCTTTCCACTCCAGTTTTGCTGAGACAGTCCCAGAGGGTCTCTGCCAATGACACCCAGCCTGAGCCTGTGCTGGGCTGCACGGACAGCAGCAGCACGTGCAGAGCTGTGCAGGGCTGTGTGCATGGTCCCAGATGTTCAGGAAAGGAAAGGTACTCGTGTTTCCTTCTCAATGGGCCCTCTCAGGCAACAAGGCCACTATTCCCTCTTTATGTGCTGCACACAGGGCACCAAGACAGCCCTCCAGGAGCAGTGATAGTCTTGGTGCTCAGAGGAATATGTCCCCAACCCTGGTAAGGAAGTCAGGAAGCTTTGCTCTGATCTTCAATCCTTTTGATCAATCTGTATTTTATTAACAACAAATTCTTTATGCCATCCATGGGGAAAAAGAAAACAAAATTCAATTTTGTGGAGTGCTTGTTTTCAAAAAGAGGGATGGGAGTTTTGTTCAATTTTTCTTTAAATCAGCCAGTAGTAACTCCAACATGGGCTCTGTACACACACCAGGCCCCTCTCGGGGTGCAGCCAGAGAACCTGGGGCCGTGCCTGTAGTTGGTGTGTGCCTGAAGATAGAAAGCATGGAAGCCAAGTGTGACCACACACAACAGGTAGATCCAGCTGTGGCACAGCAGCTGCCGGTCCTGAGGGCCAGTACAAAGCTGCCACTGCACAGAGACCGTGCTGGTGACAGCAGTGATGGCTTCAGGCACAGTGACCACATTGGCCCTTATGCCAGAGGCCATTGGACTGCCCACTGCTAATTGTCATTTAACTGCAAGAGCCACATTAACCTTCCCCAGGTGCTGGTGCTGTGGGATCGGGGTGCGTGCAAGCCATGCCAGCTGCCACTGTCACCTGGGTCACCCCCTCAAAGCAAGGACAAGCAGCTGGGACAACAGGAAGGGTGACACCAGGAAGGGTGACACCATTGCAGGACTTACAAGCTGGCCCCAGGACAGAAACAGTTTTGGCAGGTACCTATTTCCAGTAAAAATAAACTTAGCAGACTCTGCCCATGTGCTCTTCTTTGCTGTTCATGACTACTGCTGGGAATAGGACTGCTGCATTTTTTGGCCAATGTTCTGGAATAGGTACCTTTATTTAACACTCAGTATTCAAACATAAACGTAATAAGTAGCCTTTAAGCAGAGTGCCTTCTATTGTTCTATTGACATGTTTCCTGTGCCATACTCAGGCAAAAAAGAGCTCATTAATGACTGAAATAAACCATCAACAGGAATACTAAATAGTAATAACCCCACTCATCACACAGTCACTAAAATTTGTTCTTGCACAGTTTGTATAGTATCTAAATAGATATATTTGTTTGCTTATTAACAGCCAGAAAACTGTCAAAAAATGTTAAGCAACTATTTATTCACTGTAAAATATGTACAGTACATTGCTTCCAGACAAACCCCTAAATGGGAATAACATAGTTTAGAAGCACCATTAATATCTTCTGCAGTTACAACCAGAGAGGAAATTTTCTTTAGAAATAGCAGCCTGCACTTGTCAGAATGTATATCTATCATCAACCAAACAAACCAAAACAAAATACACAGCACTGCAAACTCTGAGAAAGATTTAATTTTCACATTGATGAATGATTCCACTTCCCATTAATCTAAGTGGTTTGCCTGGTCTCTAGTAAATGGGGCCTTCCATCTTCCCATAGAGAAGCTGAGTTTACACTTAAGGACTGACTACATGAAAGATGAGCCAATTATTAGACATGAAACAAGCTCTCCTGGCAGGGGAGGGAAGCAAAGCAGCAGGACTCCTCTATTAGATGCCCAAGAGTGCTTTCTATTATGTTACAGCTGCATTTGATGGGCATTATTCACTTTAAGAGACTGAGAGTGCAAACATGACTCGGACGCAGCAAGAAGGACTGACGTTGATAAATGCAGATCACGTCTGCTGCACAGGCAAAACCAGCAGCAGGGCACCCCATTTCCAGGATCATCTCCATGGAGGCATGCATTTGCCTTTCTGGAGCAGATACCAAAACACACCGAGCATCTGTGGCATCCTTCTTGTACACAGCAGGGACAGCTTCCAGAAATCTATTTTTTCGTGTACTTTCCTGTCTGCAAGATGCAGAAACTCCATTAGCTGCTGTCACATGAGAAAGAGACTGGCTCATGTTCCAAACAATTGTTCACTTTCTGATAATAGGAATGGCTTATGGTGCCAAATTTTTCCACACCCCATTTGGCCATGATGCAGCAGTATAGCCACCACAGCAAGTCTGAATATTCAAACAAATCAGACTGATCTTCTCAGCCTCACTGTCCAGCAAGAACAGAAAATAACATGTTTTAAAGAGAATACTAAAAGTTTCAGAAGCATCAACAGCCCAATTGCAGACTTCATTAAAGAATGGGTCAGGGACAGACCTGCTGCCTCCAAGTAAAACCTGTAATTTTTGCAAGCAGAGTCAAAAACATTATCAAACATGAATTTATATTGAGTCCATTAATGAATAACAATCACTTTTTTAGTTTAGTAAGAATAGCTATATTGACTAGCAAATCAGGAAAGAATAGGAGACTGTCAATCACACCCTTTGGTCCATATCTATTTAGCAATTTTCTATCCATTAGCAGAGGGGGAAAAGAAAAAAAAATAAAGGGTAGCTAACAGCTGTTTATACTCCTTAGTAAATATTACATAAAATAAACTGGTTGGAATAAATTTATCATTAATACCCTCAAACAGTGCACTAAGGAAAGTGTTATTTTCATGGGTATTTATGCATTTTTAGAGCAGCAGATTAAAAAAAAAAAAAAAAGCAAAACAACAAACTGAGAGGAATAGCAGATTTGTCTTTACAAACCAGCTGTGGATCTGCTGGTAGGTAAAACCAGCAGGGAGCTAAAAGAAACAATTGGAAGAATTCCACTGATTGATGAATGGAAAAAGAGATTTGCCTTTACAAATAAACTTTAGGTTTGCTGATAAAGGAAATGAAACATTGAAAGATGAAAGAAACAATGGGGAAGAAGAACCCCTAAATTCCATAAGAATTAAAAATTAAAAGGGAGGGTTATACATTAGAGGGGAATCTCTGGTATCAGGTGTTCTGGGAAGTCTGAACCTCTGAAGCACCTCAGCCAATGGGGAAAGAGAGAAGGGAAATGCGGCGGGGAATAAAAAGGGAGGCTGACATCTCCAAAAATGTGAGAGACCCCAGGGCAATGCCCCATGGCCTCTCCCTTTATTGGAATAAAGTAAAAGGACTCCTCAGTCTCCTTTTTGGACACAAACCTCTGCTGTTTGTGGATTAATTTTCCTAACAAAACCAACATTAAATGTCTTGCCTCCGACCTGTAAAGTATGAAACCTCCTGACTTAAGTGATCCGATGGGCTGGGTTGATCTCAGCCGGCAGCTGCAAGGGCTGACCAGGTGGTAAGGGGTGGCGGGCGGAATGCTATGGGGGCAGCTCCGTACGATGGAGCAGCTAGGTGCGATGGGGACAGGTCCGTGCGGTGCGATGGAAGCAGATCCGTGCGGTGCGATGGAGCAGCTCCGTGCGATGAGAGCAGCTCCGTACGATGCAGCAGCTCCGTGCGATGAGAGTAGCTCCGTGCGATGCGATGAGAGCAGCTCCGTGCGCCCGGAGCAGTTCCGTGCGATGGGGGAAGCTCCGTGCGCCCGGAGCAGCTTCGTGCAATGGAGCAGCTCCGTGAAGCAGGGCAGCTCTGTGCGATGCGATGGAGGGCAGCTCCGTGCAATGGGGGCAGGACGGTGCGATGGGATGGAAGCAGCTCCGTGCGCCGGGAGCAGCTCCGTGCGGTGCGATGGGAGCAGCTCCGTGAACCGGGGCAGCTCCGTGCGATGGAGCAGCGCCGTGCGATGGAGCAGCTCCGTGCGGTGCGATGGGGGCAGCTCCGTGAACCGGGGCAGCTCCGCGCACCAGCAGCCGCAGCCGCGCCGCCCCGGGCCGGACGCCGCTTACGAACCCGGACCGGCTGACGCCCGCTGTGTCTCGCTGGCGCATCCTGCCGGCCACAACCTGGTACTGCAGCCGAGGCAGGGCGCATGCGCGCTGACCGGAACGGAGCCCTTTTGTCGCGGAGTCATTAATTAATTAAGGCGGAACGGAAACTCCGATGGGTGCGCGGATTCCCCCCTTCCAGGGGTTCATCCGGAGGTAGAAACGTACACGTCATTAAAATGAATTATTCCTACTCCCCTGCCACTTACTCTTCTCTTTAGTCAGCAACCTTCCCTCCATGTGACCAGAAAGGTAAAGGATGTTCAGGTGAGGGTTGAAATGGGCTTCCTTTCTCAGGCCAAACGAAGGAAGCACATCCAGAAGCAGACCCTGTACTCAAGGTATGGCCCAACCCAGGCCGAGTACAGGAGCAGAATCCCTGCCCTGGTCCTGCTGGCCGCCCTGTTCCTGACACAGGCCAGGCTGCCGTTGGCTGCAGAGCGCTGCTGGCCCGTGTCCATCTGCTGTCCATCAGTGTCCATCTGCTGTCCATCTGTATCCCCAGGTCCCTTTCTGCCGGGCTGCTGCCCAGCCACTCTGCCCCCAGCCCTTAAGTGCTGCACGGAGTTGTTGTGGCCGAAGTGCAGGAGCAAACACTTGGTCTTACTAAACTCCACATTGTTGGATTCAGCCCATCCACACAGGTCCAGGTCCCTCTGCAGAGTCCTCCTGCTTTCCACCAGGTCAATATTCCTCCTCCATCACTTTGGTGTCATCTGCAAATTTACTCGTGCTTGACTCAATCCTCTCATCCAGGTCGTTGGTAAGGGTATTGAACAGGACTCGGCCCAGCACTGATCCCCAGGGGACAGCACTGGTACCTGAGCACCCACGGGCTGCAGCACCGCACTCTGGGCCCTGCCATCCAGCCACAGCTGTGCTCTGTGTGCACTGGGCATTAGAGCTTCTCTGGGCTTTAGAGCTTCTCTGTGCATTTCTTTGAATATGCTTTTGCAGTCAGACACTATCACGGACTATCCTTGAATCCTTGGGCCTTAAACCTGTCGCTGTTTTATATGAAGTCTTATTCCATGAGCTGTCGACATGAGTCCTTCACAGACCCAGCAAGCCGGCAGCGGGTGACATAAATGAGGTGGGAAGATCTGCTGAAGGGTCTCCCCTGTGCTGTTGGTGCATGTCCCTGGGTAAGTCAGTCGAGCCATCCTTTGATCCAGCAGGATGCTCAGTGGGGTGCTGACAGACTGCTTGGGCACAGGGGTCTCAGCTTTCCTGGACTGCTGACAGGCAAAGTAAATATTACTGCTCCAGTACATCTGCCCCCACTAAGGGTGGAAGAAATCTCTCCTTTTCACATGGCAGATGTTTTGTGTAAGTGTTGTGGGTTGGCCCAGGCCCGATGCCAGGCACCCACAAAACCACTCACTCACTCCTCTCTGCAGCTGGACAGAGGAGAGAAAATATAGCAAAGGGTTCATGAGTTAAGGACCAGGAGAGATTGCTTATCAAACAGCATCACGGGCAAAACAGGCTCAAATTAGAGATATTAATTGAATGTATTGCTAACAAAATCAGAGCAGGGTAAGAAGTAAAATAAAAACTTTCCCCCTGCCCCTCCCTCCTTCCCAGCTCTACCTCCTAGCTCAGCAGTGCAGGGCAACAAGGAAGGGGGGTTATGGTCGTTACATCATCCATTGTTTCTCCCATGAGAGACGGCTCTCCACAAACTTCTCCAGTGTGAGTCCATCTCGTGAGTACAGATCTCTGAGAGCTGCTGCCGCGTGGGTCATTCTTACACAGGGTGCAGACCTTCAAGGAAGGCTGCTCCAGCATGGGCTCCTCCACAGGCCACAGGTGGATCTCTCCATCCCCTCAAACCTCCAAAGGCTGGAGGGGCACAGATGCTTTACCATGGTCCTCACCATGAGCTATAGAGGAATCTCAGCTCCAGTGCCTGGAGAGCCTCTTCTCCCTCCTTTTCCGCTCTACCTTGGTGGCTGCAGAGTTGTTCCTCTCACATATTCCCACCCTGCTCTTCTCTGGTTCCAATTACAACTGCGCAATAAACATTTTTGTTTCTTCTTAAATATGTTATCACTGAGGGAGGTGTCACACCATTTCTAATTGCCCAGCCTTGACCAGCAGCGCATCATCTCTTTGGAGCCACCAGGGACTGCCAGACACGGTGAGAGCTTCCAAAAGGTCCTTGCAGAAGCCGCTGTTGTAGCCTTCCCCCTTCGCCCTCGCCCTTACTACCCAACCACGGGAGCCCAAAATTGAAAGATACAGGGTTTTAAAATGAAAATATAACTCTTGTATATATATAAAAATTACCCAATAAAGGACTTCCAAATGTAACAAAATATTACATATGAAGGAATTAAAAAGAGCTAATAGCTCTCTTAGCTCTCGCACACAAAGTCTAAGCAGATATTAGCAGTAATCTAAGCGGAGATTTTATAGAAGTAGATATCTACTTATATAAGTAGAAGTACTTATATTTTCGAAGTGTCAAAATACACAAGTCTAAACAGTCTAAATATGTGGTTTTTGTGTTGACAGAAGTTAAACAGATATGTGTCAATATATCTGTAGGTATAAATAGACATTCTGTATATTAAGTGCAAATAGACATAGCCTAAATAGTTGAGTGTAAATATATAAAAGTGTATGGGGGGAAATAACAAAACAGTTTTGGGTAAGGGTTTTGTTTCTTGCTCCATGAATCCCAGCAGATTTGAAATTCTCAGAAGATTTTCTCAGAAGCCCAAAACTGTGACATTTCTTTCAGAAACTGCATGGATTGATGCAGCCAGAAACAAAGACGCCCCCTCATCGTAATGGGCAAAAACGAAACCAAAAAGTACTAATTTTCATGTTGTGGAAAAGCACTGGAAACTCCTAAAATCAAGGATTTTGAAAAAGCAACCTCCTTTGCCCTAGTTTTCACCTTATAGAAAAGAAAAAAAAAAAAACACACCGCCAAACACGTCAGCCTGGGGTGGAACCGGGGCAGTTTGGGGGCACGGCTGCGGCTGACCCCCGCAGTGTCGGGTCGGTTACAGGGAGTGAATTGGTTACCCCG